GAGTGGCCACTGCACTCCAGTCTGGGCAACAGTGAGACTCCAACTCAAAAAAAAAAAAGTTTGTTTTATTGGTTTTTGTCACCCAGGCTGGAGTGCAGCAACACGTTCACGGCCACCATAGCCCCGACCTGCTGGTCTCAGGCAATCCTTCTGCCTCAGTCTTCCAAGTAGCTAGAACTACAGATGAATGCCACCACACCCACCTAATTTTTTTTTTAATTTATTGTAGCAATGAGGTCTTGCCATGTTGACCAGGCTGGTCTTGAACCCGCAGGCTCAGGCAATCCACTCGCCTCGGCTTCCCAAAGTGCTGGGATTATAGGCGTGACTCACCGCATCTGGCATAAGGGTTGTTTTTTTTTTAATTGCTCTAATATAAATGCACATTTTTAAAAATATTTTTTTTGAGCCACGCACAGTGGTTCATGCCTATAGTCCTGGTTACTTGGGAGACTGAGGAGAATTGCTTGAGCCTAGCAGTTCAAGGCTGCAGTGAGCTGTGATGGTGGCACTCCAGCCTGAACGACTGATGAAGATACCATTTGTAACATAAAATAAAACAAAAACATTATTCCCCCCTTTTTCTTCATAGAGCAATATTGTGTCCTGTTGGGAGCCGGCCACGGAGGCCCACTGAGCGTTAGGGATCAGGGAGGGCCATGGACCCCGAGACCACTAGGACGTGTTCGGGAGCCGTAGACCCCATTTTCCTCCCCCTTTTGCCATGCAGCACAAACAACCTAAAGGAACTCTACTGGCCTAAGGCTCTGTGATTGTGACAGGCATAGCTCACTCTAGAAACCCATTGTTCTTGTTTCCCATAAACTGTGGTTTCCACTTAGGTATTAGATATAATTCAAATTCAGGTCACATTTGGAAGCCTTTTATACGGTACAAGCTTCTTTATAAGATTTAAAAGAATATTTGTAGAATTAGTATATACTTATGGAGAGCTGTTTTCAGCTTTTCAATGGTATAGATGATTATCAAGAGTGGCCCAGCACAGAGTTTGGACTGGGCCACATTCCTGAGAGCCCAGCACGTACTTTGGACTGGGCTGCATTCTTTTAGGCCGGCTTTAGCTACAGTTAGTGTAAGGTCTTTTTTCTACCTATTATAGAAATTGAATTTATTTTATTCATAGAAGGTATTGTAGAATAGGTCATGCTACATCAAGGAATCATGTTAGTTCAAGCATAATCAATCATGATATTTTTAGGTTTAATAAGAATATAGTTAACTTTAGAAATTTCATTGTCTCCATTTTCTACTATCGTGGTTTTGGCCTTAGTACATTTACAGTTTATATTTGGGTTTTATTTTTAGAAGCTTTGCTGCTGCTGATCAGCTTTATATATTAGGATTAGGAATGAGAAACTTTCATAGAAATTAGGATAGATATATAGAACTTTAGAATAGTCATTTTGTTAAGAGATTGTAGTCTATTGTTCCAAAAAGTGGCCCACCGTGAACCTTGGACTGGGCCACATCCTATAGAGCCCAGCATGATCTTTGGACTGGGCCACATTCTTTAGGAATTGGTTTAAGCTATAATTAAGAGCTTCCGTAGCATTGTGTAAGTAGTATTAGCATAGAATAGAAAGGTAATAAAGTTTAAGTTAGTCATCATGGGTATTGCTTGAGCTTTAGAAGTTATTGATTATCAGAACATCATTAGGCTAGTAGGGATTGTTGCACTGCTTTTGAAGAGCATTAACTAGCAAAGGGAACAATAAGACAATCTTGGGGTTTGTTCCTCCTCACACCTAAGCATCTGGTGGGTGGGGGATGCCTCCCCTGGCTTTGTGTTCACATGAAAGACTTGTGAGACTACCTGTGTAAAATTTTGGGGGATAAATACCAGCTGTAACTTTCAATAAACGGCTTCTGCTCATTTCATTGAACAGTTGTCCACTTCCTTTCTTTTGCCTTCTCTTTCTTTCTTTTAATATCTGTCCCTACAGATTCGCCGACGCCACCACGTCTTCCAAGGCACTCCCCAAAACTTGCAGGGGCCGGCCCCCCGCAGTGTCCTAAGTGGATCCCATTCCTTTTCTTTTTTCTTTATCTTTTTTTTGTGTGTGTAGGAGTCTCAGTCTGTCACCCAGGCTGGAATGCAGTGGCATATTCACCGCCACCGCAGCCTCGACCTGCTTGGCTCAGGCGGTCCTTCTACTTCAGTCTCCCAAGTAGCTGGAAGCACAGGCACACGCCACCATGCCCGACAATTTTTGTTTTGTTTTGTTTACATTGTAGAGACGAGGGCTTGCCATGTTGCTCAGGCTGATCTCGAACTCGTGGACTCAGGCCCATTCCTGTTCTTACTCAGTAGCTTGTGCAAACTTAAAAACTGTAAAACCCTGTGTGACACTGATGTCTTTTGTTTGTTTGTTTTTGAGTTGGAGTGTCACTTTGTCGCCCAGGCTAGAGTGCAGTGGCACGCTCACGGCCACCCCAGCGGCGACCTGCTGGGCTCCTGCAATCCTTCCGCCTCAGCCTTCCAAGAAGCGAAACTACGGGCACGCGCTTCCCCGCCCGGCTAATTTTTCTTGATTTATTGTAGAGACGAGGTCTCGCCAAGTTGCCCGGGCTGGTCTCGAACCCGTGGGCTCAGGCAATCCACTCGCCTCAGCCTCCCAAAGTGCTGGGATGACAGCTTGAGCCACCGAGCCCGGCCTGTTTGTTTGTTTTTTGAGTCGGGGTCTCGCTTTGTCGCCCAAGCTGGGGAGTGCAGTGGCATGAGCATAACTCACTGCATCCTCGACTTTCTGGGCCCAAACGACCCCCGGTTTCAGCCTCCCGAGTAGCTGGGACTACAGGCACACGCTACCACGCCGGGTTAATTGAATAGCCCCGGGAAGCAGCCAATTTGCAGGTCTTCACCTCTTGGCTGCGAGACGACAAAAAGATGACCCGGGATCCAGGGGTTTCAGTTTACCCCGCTGGGCGGTGAGAAATTAGGAATGAGAAGAGTAAAGCGTGGAGCCAGGGCTAATACTAGTCATGATTGTCTTTGCATTATTATCCTTCCGTTCTCCCTCGGGACAACTTCGAACGGTGCTAAACTTTGGGCGCAAAAGAGTCGGGCAAGGAAAGCGGGGCGCAGCGCTGTAGGCAAGTCCAAGGGCAACGGATGGAATTGGCAAGAAAAGCAAACCTTCTCCCGCCACGCCCCCACGCCTGCGCGCCTCTTGTCAGGTGCTTAGACGTCCGCCGATAAGACGCCCGAAAAGTGTGACTCTCCTCCCCCGTAAGGCGGAGCTAAACGGTGCGCTCTACCAATGGGGATGCCGTAACCAAATGTCCTCGTCCATCCCCGGGTCTCGGACCAATGAGAATTGGCGTAGGCGTCATGGAGGGGGCGGAGCAGGTGGACACGCCCCCCAGGCGGGCGGGGCGTCAGGTCTTAATTCGCGCCGGGCTCCCCAGAAGGTTCTGGGACTCAGGCTGGCGACCATGGCGCTCCGCTGGGGCATCGTGTCAGCCGGCCTTATCTCCGGCGACTTCACGAAGGTGCTGCAGTCGCTGCCTCGCTCCGAGCACCAGGTCCGCCTCTCCCTCCGGAGTCCTGGGGAAGAGGAGGCCGAGAAAGGGAGCCCCGGACTTCTGAGTCTGAATGGGGAGCAGGGGGCTTAGGGTTCCGGACTCCTGGGTCCCCAGGGCAGTGAAACAAGGTCTGTTTCCTCCTCCTTCCTCCTTCTCCCCCTCTGTCATGTAAATCCCGAGTTCCTTGAGATTTGGGAGGGTCTTGACCCGAGTTCCTGTAAAGTAAGTAAATATCCGGGGATTTAATTATCGCGGCCCCCAGGGCCCGAGTGTCTGGCCCCGTCACCTCTTCCCCAGGACCCCACCTCCGCCTCCCCCGTCTTGGAGGGGGTACGGTCTCCCTGCACTGGAGCCTCTCCTTCACCCCCTCCCATCCACTGTCTTTCACGCCTGCCCCAGCCTCTCAAGTGTGACCCTGGCGCCCCTCCAGGTGGTGGCGGTGGCAGCCCGCGACCTGAGCCGGGCGAAGGAGTTTGCACGGAAGCATGACATCCCCAAGGCCTACGGCTCCTATGAGGAGCTGGCCAAGGTCCCGAACGTGGGTGAGTGGGGAGGGTGGCAGGGTGCTGGCTGCCCCGTGGGAGATGCGAGGCTCCGCGGGGTGGGCCGATCCTTTTGGCCTTCTGGAAAGACCTTGGACTGGGAGGCGGAGCTGGCTGTGGGAATGAGTCTGGTCTGGGACTGGCTGTCTATGTGTTAAATGCCTTAGAGGCCAGGCCTCTGCTGTAAGGACGAGGCTTACTCCTAAAGAATTCGAGGTCAAGCCAGGCTCGGTGGCTCAGCCTGTAATCCCGCGCTTTGGGAGGCTAAGGTGAGTGGAT